AGATTAAAATCCTTTTTATAGATAGTCTGTGGTCGTAGCTTTAAAATTTGAAGTCCTTTCTCTCTTTACATTTTCAGTGAAAGGAAGATGATTTTGTCTTTAACTTGTGTAGGACAAATGAAAGTTGTTGGGCTGACAGCATTTTTTTTTTTTTGTAGATGCACACGAAGCAACATAATTTGGAAATTTAAATAAAATAAGTCAACTTTAAGGTGGATACCTGTGGAGGGGTTCATTTAGTTTACAGGCACACAGCCACACTGAGCACCATGACAGAGAAAGATGACACCATGTTTTCTTTATACACACACAGTCAGGTATAGAATAAAGAAAATGGTTTATAGTTAATCTTATAGCTTTTAAAGTGCTGTTCGGAGAATCTGAATCAGCTTCTTTGAGGAGGAAAACATTTTTGTCCTGGAGGTTTGGAGTGGCACAGTTAGAGGATAACATGGAAAGTATTCAGCAAAGAGTTTACGAACGAGAAGCTTTATATAAATATTTGTTCAATGTTTGATGCTCAGTTCTATTCTTGGAGTTAGGGACAGACATCACATTGCTTCAATTAACTTGATAATGAGATCGAGTTTGTAGTAGTAGACTATTGTAGAGTTAAGGTAAAGAATTCTGGCCTGTGTTTGTCCTACTACAATGTTAACACTATTGTAAAAACACAGTGAAAATCTGTGAAATATTGTGACCTTAAAAAATGCTGAAAATAACAGTAAACATCTATAAAATAATGTTTTTTTTTTTGCAGGTTTAAATGAAAAATGGTTTAATTTTACAGTCAAACGTTGTAAAACAATAAATTGTGAAAAATACAGGAACTGGAGGTTGAGACAGAAAAACTCATTTAATTTTTTTCATTCCTTAATATACAAAACTTTTCTTTCAAATAACAACACATATTTATAATTTATTTATTTATTTATTTTTTTGCAGATTTAAATAGTAAGTTAAAGTAGTGTAATGTTATGGTCAAACGTAAAAGAACGAATTACCATTTGGAAAAAAGAACGATTTTTTTGTTATGTAATTTACAGTTTTGACTTATTTTATATTAATTAATATAAAAATTATTATATTAATTAATAACAAAAATTCTGTGATTTTACTAGTTATTATCTGGAGTTAAACAGAATAGGGAAAATCTGTAAAATAGCTGTAAACTGTAGAAGGACAAAAAAAGATAAAAACTGTTTTTTTTTACATTCTAGGACAAGCCAGAATGTCTTTGCGTTTTGTTTTGTTTTTCAAGATCAATAAAGTTCAGGTACATGAGATTTACATGTTAGAATACTGTAACAATAGACTTACATTTAAAACAAGTCCCTTCAGACACAGACTTGTATTCAAGTATGACACTATCCTGCATTAAACTATCCACATGACTTCACACATTTTAATGCAGACACACACACACACACACAGACACACACACACACACACACACACACACACAGACACACACACACGTACAGTCTATAGGCTCCACATGAAACACACATGTTGAAGTGCAACTTGAGGACAAAATGTCCTGCGCCTCTGTGCCTCTGTAAACGAACGCTTCCTTATGTTTCGGAGACCACTGGGGATATATTTTTCTGCTCCCTGCTTTTTCCTCTCATCTCCTTTGTCGGATGCCGCGGGAGGCTGGTTTGGGTTTCTCTGATGTGTGTTTGAGTTTGTGTGTGGGAGAGGGAGGCAGGGGGGAGGAGGAGGAGGGGAGGGGAGGGGAGGCGATCGAAACAGGCCGAGGGATGTCGTTCTTACAGTCGCTCCATTTTGGGATCAGGACAGGAAGTGGGCTCAACAGAGGAAACATGACCTCCTCCTCTCCCCCCCTCCTCCCTCCCTCTATCCTCTTACTTTTTCTTGTATTCCCTCTTCCTCCCTTTGTCTGTCCCTCCCCCAGTCTGCGCCTTACCCATTCACAAGGTCATTCCCGTGCTTTTCGGTGCACGGCGATCTCGTCACATGAGCTTCCACATGTGTGGACCCTAAATTACATTCTGCTCGCTTCCTGGGTAAATAAATCTATGTTAACCAGTGATTTCTAAAACAACACCAAAACTCTGCTCTAGTTGTTTCTGGGCTCCCTCCCTCTCTCCTGAGACTTGGAGTCTGTTATGGAGCAGAGCTCCTCTGATTAAAAGCCAAAGCAAAGGTCAGACTCTGCTGGGTAACAGAGATATCGCCCGGCTTCAGCTTTGCTCTCATGCCCAGCGGTCTGATAGCTCTGGCTGATGAGCTTCATATTACATTATGTGGAATGAGGACTTACACTTAGCCCAGCCTGTACATCAGTATGATACGACTTATCAGGAGCTTCAACTCTCTGCTTTCTGGCTTTGCAAGAGAGCTTCTCGTGTTCATAAATACTGATTAAACTGCCTCAGGACATAAGAAAAACATATTTGAATTCATTTTTTTTTTACCCACACTTCTCCTCTCTCCAACTCAAAGCACTTTTCTAAAATCCTCCGAGGTCTCCCCCTCCCCGCTAAATCTTTCTACCACGCTTCACTTTCCAGCTCAGAGGGTCTTGACCTCTTGCTTTGCCACATACACACTCAAACGCACACAGACGCCCACACAGAGAAAATAAAGAAACAGCATGTCAGCAAACGGCAGTGTATTTCACCACAGAGCACAGAGCCAAGGCACTGGGAAACAAAAAACAAAAGCAGAAGACCTCCCTCTTTTCATCCTCTGCCTCCATCCTGCTCGCCTTTCAAAGTCTGCGTCTGTTTATTTGTTTCATTGCCTTTTTCTTCCCCAGACGTTTTCCTTTCTGATCGTTTTCTCTCAGACACATCCAGTGCAATGACGAGACTTACAAAAAAAACAAACAAACTTGTGTGTGAGTGGAAAAAGGTAGGTTAGTCAACAACAAATGTTACAGCAACATACCAGTTACGGTTACAGTGATACTGTTAGACAGAGTGGCGTTTTGTATTGTAAAGTGTACACACAGTGTCAGTCAAATACTTACAGTATTCTATGTACAGGAAGCATCAACATGCACAACGAACACAGACGAGTTACACAGTTTAATACAGTCTTATAATAAGGCGTGTGGAAGTGTTCGTGGTTTGCCTCATTTCCCCTCGAGGCCATGTGGACTTAAAACTCAGGGTGGGAAGAGCAGCCCAGCTGTGTCCTGCTGCTGCGTACCAAAATGCAAATCAGGCAAACGTCGGGAATTAAATCAACATTTTCATTTCACTCCGCTCGATTCATTTCTCCGCTCGAGAACATGGAAGAAAGTAAATGATTTTAAGAAAGTAGAAAGTGTGCGCGATTAATGGATGTTTCTGGTTGGCTGGCAGGTATCCATTAAAATCACATAACAGAATAACTCAGACATAGTTCTGGTCAGCAGTTTCACCACAATTATAAATCAGTGCACAAAGTGTGGTAAACTGCAGGAAACCATAGCAACAGCCCTGTTATTTATGCTACATTACCACATAACTCTCACTGCTCAAACAGACGCAAACAGGGCTGCAAATAGTGGCTAATCCGGTAATTACTGGTGACTAATCGTTTCATCTTGAAACCTGAAATAAGCAATCATTTGTTTTAGGGGCCACCGGCTGTGATCAAAAAATATGATCATGTTGTACAGTTGGCTAATGTGTGAGGCAACAGATTCTTATTTACACATGCAGCAGATGGAAAGCAGCATTTTCAATTATTTCGAGTTGTGGGAGCATCCTGATGGATGGTGATCCAATATTCATTCTCTTTTAGCTCTGTGTTTGGTCTCCACCACCTTCTAAAAAGATATCTGGCTCTTTAGCTCCGAAATACGCCAGTAATCTTTAAAAAAAAAAAAAAAATTCTTTGAAAAGGGACAGAGTACAGCTCAAATGTTGCTATTTTCTGGACCGTACTAGATTATAGCTTCAGGCTAATTTTCTGCTAGTTGCTAAAGTTGTCGATCTGCTGTTTGATGTTAGCCAAGTATTTGGTTTTTAGGTCTTTTATGCTGAAAACAGTTGGGAACAAGGCTACGAGAGTGATGAGACTGAACCAAACAGGTAAAGTTGCACACTATAAAACAAAAACAGTGACCTATAATTCTGTTGGGAATCAATCCATGGCTTTAAAGAACCCCTTTCATGTACATATAGCATTATTTTCTGCAAAAATAGTGATCGTACTTACTTTTAGGTGGAAATTTAAACATATTTGATTTGAAAGAGAATAGAGAAGCTGCACTGTGTTTTAAGGCGGAATGCAGGAAGTTAGCAGAAATGTCTTGAGACAAACATATTAAAAATAAAGCAAATTATCAATAATGAACAAATAATGCATGAACAGTTATTTGGCTTTTAAATAGGGCAGTTCTTTATAACACTTTTGTTTTTCATTATAGTGTCAAACTACATTGTTCTTTCCAGGACACCAAAATAGGAAATAAAAGGGAAATCATATACCAGTAAGAAAAAAACGTTTTCTGTGATTTAGTTTCGGTTGCTTGTTCTTGTTTTGTTGTTTTTCCTAGTAAGGCTTCCCACCCTGACTGCTACAGAAGTCCAAAATGGCCACCAGAAACACAGGGAAAAGGTCATTTACAGTTCAACCCTGTCATTTTCTGCTGTTCCCTTCACGTTTACAGGACAAAACAACAGGATCATGCAGCGTAACCATATAGCAAAAGGCTTCTTGTAAATACTCATAATGTGCCTCAGGTTACGTCGGGGCTGTTGTGGTACATCTGCTGGGATTCTGGTGGGAAGAGTGAAGAGGAGAAGAAAGGCGAAGACAGGCGTAGGGATAGAAATGAACCATAATTCGTGGAAGACTGGGAGCTGAGTGTTTTTACTTTAAACCAAGATGAGTCTCTAATTTGATCGTCTACTGTTTCTGGAGGAGGGAGGAGACGAACAAGCCGACTGTTGTGAGAGGAGAGGAGAGGGGAAGAGAAGAGAGGAGAAGAGAAGAGAGGAGAGGAGAGGAGAAGAGAAGAGAAGAGAAGAGAAGAGAAGAGAAGAGAAGAGAAGAGAAGAGAAGAGAAGAGAGGAGAGGAGAGGAGAGGAGAGGAGAGGAGAGAGGAGACGGATAGGATGCCTATAAGACTTGCTATCTGCAGTTGTTCATCTCTTGTGCGATGGCAGGAACATGAGAATAAACACCAGAAGAAGACAGAATAGACGGCACAGGAGAGGACAGGGAGTGTAAAAAAAAGGGCTTCGTCTCTTCCTCTGTTAAAGTTCATTGACAGGAACACTTGTGCAACCTTATCACATAACACAGCATATGACCAGCGTGGGCCCAAACCCTCAGCCCTCTCCCTCTGTCACGTGTACTTTAAGACAAGGCATTTTTCAGCTCTCTCTAAACCTTCTGCCTCTCTTCCTTCCTTCCTTCTTCTTCTTTCGCACTCTTCCCCTCCCGTTTCTCGCTCACGCAGCTCGAGCTACATTTCAACAGGCAGCAGTGTGACACGGTTTAGTGACAGGGGTGTCATTAGTCTTATATACACAAGAGAAAAACACTTTCAGTGCTCATGTCATGTAGTTGGTGCTTTCCTCTACAGCTTTTCAATACATTTCTGAACCTGTGTAGGAAGGAGCAGCTGACTGTCTTTCCAGCATACACACATTTATACAGGGCAAATGCAGGGTGTCCACAGGGGCCACAACAGGTCAACAGGTCCACAGTCGGTTCATGGCTCCACAGGTTAAGAGTTCAGTTAGATCCACTCTGAATGGGTCAACTGGCTGCTCCACAGGTCAGTGTTAATATAAGCTCATGGGCTGTCGTGTCAGACCCAAGCAGACCTTCTCAGAAGTCCTCCAGGCCTGGATTCACAGTTACAGTCAGAGAAGCTGTCGTCTGCGGCGTGAAGGTCACTGCAGCATGATATCTTTGAGGTTTTCCTGCAGGATGGTGTCCTTCACAGCGTGGAAGACAAAGCGGATATTTTCTGTGTCTACCGCAGTGGTGAAGTGGTGGAAAAGTGGCTTCCCCCGGTTTCTCCTCTTACGACTAAACGACTGCACCAGAAATGCCTGGAAGAAGCAGAGGAGGAACAGTGAGACCTTGATCAGGTGTGTGTGTGTGTGTGTGTACTATGAGCTGTGTTTCCTCGAGTACAACATGACATCCCCTTCTGTAGCACAATGGTTTTGGAAAACATTTAGGAAAGATTCCCCCGGATATTGATAGTCCAAAGAGATGAGAGGGACTCCTTGGAGCTTTTTCTCTCATAAACTGAAACCAGAAATACTTCCTGAGATACTTCCACTTTCCTCTTTCGCCCTGATTTTAATCCTTTGTGACGTCGACACGGACAGCTGTGGACATTACAGACATTAATATTATACTACTTTCTACTCTGTTAGAGAGATTTGTTCCAAACAGCGGAGCTACGTAAAGTGCAACACTAGCCTTAGACTTGTGAAAGAAGGATTGTCTCTGCCGGTTTGTATTTTGAGCTACTCATCATCTGGGATTGCGATAATTCTTAACACAACGACAGATGACAGAAACCAGGGTCTGTTTCTGAGACGATTTTGACTCATTCTCCCTCATCAGAACTGACTTCCTCCAGACAAACGCTTCCAGGACTTCAACAAACGAGCTAGGCCAAGAACACTAAATGCCGACTATGCTTTCCTTCTTTGCGTGTCAAGGGTTCGCAAAGGAATACAGCTTGTAAATTCTGTAATCCCCCGAAGCCTGTGAGGATCTGCACCAGACTCCTCTGTGGACGTGTGTGCAGCCCAAAAGGTGTCCATCTGCACCTTAGGCATGCCGACTACACCTGCTAAAGGAAAACAAATGTTGCTCAAAACTAATTTTTGTTCAGAGGAGACTGTACCGGATCATTCTCTGTTATCCATAACTTTATAATTAATAACTAAAAGAGCTGTAATTGAAGTAGTTGCTAGCGGAAATCCTGTGCTACGTTGGCCCACTGAGCTTGACACAACTCAGGACTCAGTGGTACAGCCCAGTCTGTAGGTAGCTGCCATATCCTTCAAAGACTGCGCCATCTGTTTTTCTATGCAAGATATAAGGTTTAATACAACTGTCAGACTGGTGCGGACTTATTTTAGTACAAACAGAACTACATACGCTTTCAAAGTCCGCTTTGGTCTGCGTACATGGACATAGAAAGCAACAAACAATCCATAATGCAACGGAAGAAGCAACATATAATGCATTTTCCTCAAAATCTATGTTTTTTTAAATTAACGTTAAGTGCCAAAAACTGCAGTTCCTTAAATGGCCACTTGAGGCTGCCTACTAAAATGAGTCAATCAGTATAGACCTGCATGTTCAAACTTTACAGCAAAAATAAACATGTTTACAGTCTGGTACAAAAAACGGTTTTGGTCTCTACAGCTAATTTCCCCCTTCACAATAACGGCATGTGGGGTGAATTTTTACATAACTCCTCAGTTTAAATTGTATTAAAGCTTAAAGTTGTGTATAATTGATGATGTTGCTGCTTTGAGTGACAAGGCGTTAGAGAACAGTCTATGGCCTGTTGAGACGTTTGCATGGCCCAGCTCAGATCAACTCCACCTCTTTGCTTATTTTTGGATTCGCGGGGAGATAAGAAGAGTCAGTCGCTTCCAAGATGACGACAGCCAGAGCCACCACACTGAGCTTCCTATAGGTGACGTCACAGAGGCTTCGTCCATCTTTATGTGCAGTCTGTGAGTTTTCGTCAATTTTAACAGTTTGTACATCTGTCAAACAATCTGACTTGAACGGGGGTGGAATTTGTTGAAAACCGACAACTGGTGTCTCATAATGAAGCGACATTAGAAGCGTACCTGTACGTCCTCTAGCCTGCGCGGGTCTCCTCTGAACTCCGGAAAGTTCTTGCGGATGTCCACTGTGCGAATCTTTTCCACCAGCAGGTCTGTTTTGTTGAGGAAGAGGATGATGGACACGTTCAAAAACAGCTTGTTGTTGACAATCGTCTCGAAGATGTTCATACTCTCCACCAGGCGGTTTGTCCTGCGGTCCTCCATCAACACCTGGAACCACACAAACTTTTATTACTCTTTTTTCAGGTTTTTATTCAAGCAGCAATTAAGGATACAGCCGTCGTCATATGACTTGCTGTTTTTAACCGGAGCAACAACTGTTAACAATCATGTGTAGTAAGTCACACAAAGAGAGCTCTGTGTAAACCTCTCTCTGATCTTACTGTTCCTTTTTTGTTTAATAATTTAAAAAGTCCAGAGGCTGTCCGAGAAGCGTTTTTGCGGAAATACTATTGCATAATCAGGGATGTTTTGAAAATCTGTGTACCTGGTCGTACTCTGACGATGACACCATGAAGAGTATCGATGTGATCCCGTCGAAACACTGAAACCACTTCTGCCTCTGGGACCTCTGCCCTCCGACGTCCACCATCTTGAAAGGAATCTTTTTGATGACAAAGTCGTGTTCTACGATCCCTTTGGTCGCCTTCCTCGCAAACAAAATGTCTTGCTTGCTTGGAATATAGTTCTGAAGAGATGAGATAAACATTTTCTTACAAGTTGGAAGGGGTGAAGAAATACAAAGTAAGATTTAAGCAGTCGGCGTGACTCACCAGTTGCCCAATACGGTCCAAGTTATCCAGGAAGTATTTGACCGACTCACTCTGCAGAGAAGAAGGAAAAATCTATTACAGCTGCAGCACGAACCGAAGTCATCTTATTACACGCTAACCAAACTTAAAAGATCCCAACAATCTGATTACAGCACTTAAATCTGATTATTATAACAATGTCATTTCTTGTATTTCTTCCTTATTTAATTCTCATTGTGCTTATTGATTTATAAATACATCAATCGATGCAACAAAGACAGAAAACATGTAAGCAGCTCTAATCACATTAGTCTCATTATGTCTCTGTAATGCACACGGATACTTGCATGGACAAGCTTAGAGCAGCATTCAGAATTTACAACATCACCAGAAACTGAAGGGAGTCAATTGACAACACATTGTGTTAATACGAACCATGTTTTTGTATCAGTGTTGTCATCACATTTTGTCCACAGAACCTGACACGACTTTAAACTTTAAAGCTCTATTAAAGCCGCATTAATCAGTATTTCCCAGCTAACATTGGATCAAATGGTTGTGTGTAATCTGGAAAGAGCCACCTGTGGCTACAAACCCACAGAAAATTATCACCAGACTTGGCAGTTCAGCTCAGCTTTTTTCAGCATCTTGGCTTTATTTGCCCCTTTGTCTTGGTTTGATAGACTTCAAACTCTTTGTTCTCAGCTATAAAGTTCTGATAAACCGACTGTACACAACCGACAAAGTCAGCAACCAATAAACATAGTGGAGGATTCAGCAGTGAAACAGATATTTACCTGCTGGTGGAGACCAAAACAGAGCTAGGAGATTCTAAATTACCATTAATGTTGCTCTGTGTGTACTGACAACGTAATCAGGTGATGATATATCAGTGTTATACAGCTTGACCTACCAGCATATACTAACCAACTGAGAAAATACAAACTACATCCCACTGGTCAACAGGTTGGCTGTAGCGTCACAAGGCTGTCGTGAATTCCTGAATTCTCTCATGTTCCTGAATTAGAAACAGAAACTGACTTCCACATGCGACCAGTTTACCCAGAGAAGGGAGAGAAATGGAGGGAATAGTCTTGAATGGAAGATTACAAAATGTGATCAACATTACTTAATTTATAGGAATGGAAAATGCATATAACAAACTGGATTATAGGTTAATTCTTACAGCATGCTCCACTGTATTCTAGTTACCAAATGATCATTTTTATTTCCAGACTGTCAACAGAGTCTGAACCAGACTGAAACGTCAGCACAGGACCTTAAACCTCCGAAACCCCAAACCCACCGACGGTTTGAAAGGCATGTTTTTTTTATTTTACACATCAGCAAAAATGACACCGTTTATCAGAAGTAGAAACTGTAAAAGCAGAAACAATAATCAAAATTCAGCTTTTTAACGATCCCTCAACGACTCATCCGTCATGTGCCTGTCCATCGGTAAAATTAGTCAAATTCACTTTACATTCCTCAGTGAAAAATCACCCAAAACACCCTTTGCTCTCACCAGATTCTGGAAAAAAAACGAAAAATTCTGCATTGACGTACACAGTTATGTGACAACAATTCATTCACTTGTTGGCTAAACTGGTTTGAACTGCAGGTTGTGTTCATGAAAAGCTGATAGAAGACAAATATGGAGACAAAGAAATGTTTTTAAAAAGTTGCAAAATACCCATAATATGTAGAGTCACCTTTTTTCCAGTGTTGGTAAGACCTGAGGGCACTTGGGAAAAGGTTGGCACATTTTGAGTCAAGTCTTTCTTTTCAACTTTTGCAAAATAAACAAAATTCAACTTTTCATATTTTCTTTTTTTTTTAAAATTGCATTACAAATTTGTTTTACTGGATAGAAGACATTTTGAGCTCTGCTTCTGGTTATGATTGTGTTGTTCCCGTAGAGTTAAAGGACTTTCAATTGCGGTGAAAAATGAAGGCCACCGTGAATAAAAATGTTATTGGAGCTCAGGGTTCAGTGAGTTTAAATTATGCGTGTCCCTGCGTTGAAGCGCACAGAGCTTTATTTGGCGGAACAAACCCGAGCGATTGCAAGTTGTAACTCTACTCAAAAAGCTGTTTTCGAGCACAAGCTGTACAGTTTATATTTTTGGAAGTATGTTTCCTGTTATTTAAGGCAGCAGTCGCTTCACTTCTGCAAGGTATGAAAATCAATTGGCCGACTCTCGAAACTGGCGTTGTGTAATCCATTACAGTGAGCATCGCGTCTGCATTAACATTTGTCAGCGCTCCTCTGTTCGCTGCCGTGTGGTAATGTGGCTTAAGTGCACGCTGATCTTCACTGCAATGGATTACACAGCTGACAAAAGTTCCAGGAGGCTTCTGATTGATTTTCATAGCGCTGGAAAATGAATGGGAGCGAGTGGGAGCCCGGACCAGAGGAAATAAGCTTCAGTTCTCCACAGCTACGGCAGCGTGATTCGCAAAACGGTCCGCTGTGCTGGTACGTGTCACTTACTGCAAACTGGCTAAAGCCGAGGTTTTACGGCAAAACAAAAGGTATATAAAGTTCAAACTGGAATCAGACTGATTCCCAACAATAGTTTAAAAGCTGAAGCGCTCTCTTCCTCCCTCTTTCACTTAAATACACTCACATTCAACAGGAAACAGCTGTGTGTGTGAAAACAGTGGGGAGAGACATGGGGGAGGGAGGGATTAGCGAGTCAGACAGAACCCAGTTACAAAGTCATTTTAGCACTCCCATCTCACTCACACACACACACACACACACACACACACTCACACACACACACACACACACACACAGCACAATGTAGCATCATTCCACTTTAAACTCGTGTTGACAGCAGCGGCTTCTTCCAAACTTTGCAAGAAGTTTTGGCTTCTCCCAAACTTGATCAGCCAGACCCGGTGAAAGCTCCTCGACAGCGGCCCTGACACGCCGCACAACAACCAGGAAACGTGACCCCCAGTGTGAGCGAGATGTCGACCCGTGACCCCGCCGCTGACCTACAGTGTCACAGCAATAGGAAGCACAAAGGCGGGGACTCTGATTGGTTGAACGGCAGCGACGAGGGGTCGGGGGGTGGGGGGGCTCGGAGGGAAAGGCAGGGATGAGGGGAATTCCCAGAGATGAAGGGATACGCAAACAAAGACAGAGACAGACGCACACGCACAAATCATTTCCACGGGCCACTCTAACTGTCATCAGCAGAAACGAAGCAGTCCGATTAGTCATGCGGCGGGAGCATCAAGACGAATTAGTTTTATTAGGCCGAGGATGACTTTTAGCGCCTTGTAATGCAGATCTGTAGGTAATAAACGGTAAAATATAGCTGTGTGTGTGTGTGTGTGTCTGTGTTTGTGTGTGTGTGATTGAGTAAGGCAGGAGGAATGTCTCCATTCATGGCGTGTATGGGCAGATTAGAGGCTTTATTACAGCAAAGACCTGAATAAGCTCACATTCTGCAGCAGTGTGTTGTGTTGGTGTGTGTGTGTGTGTGTGTGTGTGTGTGTGTGTGTGGGAGTGGGCACAGGTATATGTGTCACTTGCGATGTGTGTGTAACTGGGTGTGCCTGTCAGTCCTTTCACTACAAACTACAGTGATACGGTGAAAACAGAGCAATTCCTAACAATTCCTCTCATTCATGATTAATGTGTTTATTATTCTTTCCTTAACTGGTCATTCATTTTGCATTTGAAATGTTTAGCGCAATCATTCAGAGAGCAAAGCGATGTCAGCACATAATAGTACTCGCTTTTTTTATTATTATTATTTATGGAGAGGTTTTTAAAGAGTTTAGAGAGGCGAGTTAAAAAGACGATTAGTTTCTGGAACACAATGTGTTTGTGAGATCCAGAGGAGGGAGGGAGGCCAAGCGCCGCACATGAAGAAGAGCCCAAAGTTGTAATATAGTCAATATATTATCTAATCTAAGAAGCAAATTATCATGTTTAAGAAGCTAATATGAAGTCTTTTTATTTGGTAAATGATCAGTGCTGACTGTTGATCAGGTTGGGTTCAGATAGCTGTAGTTATATCATCAGTTCTGACTTTTGTCTTCTGTTTATAAGTATTTGAATTTTAGTTCGTCAAAGCTGGCGTGTGGGAGTTTGACATATTAATGAACATCCTTCACATTCAAACAAAACAAGTACACACAATAGTAATTAAGCCTGTCACTGCCAGGTAACTTTCAGCAACCATAGCAACAGAGACAGAGTGTGCTGCAGCAACCAGAGGTACCAGTGGTGGAAAAATCAAGGAAAGTTTCTGATGCAGGTAAAAAGGAAACTTGTTACTCAGAGGAAAGACTACAGCCGAAAAGAGAAAGTGATCAACAATGTGCCTTATGTCATACGAGGTGTGTCAGAAAAGTTCCAGGAGCTGGTGGCACAAAAGAACTCAAACTACAAACTATGAGTTTTCCCCTTCAGACGATCAACCAGCACGTCTACAAAGAGATCCTGCGCCGTTTGCTTTGTTCAGTGCGCAAGAAGAGGTGAGAGTTGTGGCAGGACAAGTCGTGGCTGCTTCGCCATGACAATGCGCCTGCTCACGATGTCCTGAGCATCCCACAGTTCCTGGCTGAGAAGAACATGGCCGTGCTGGAGCAACCTCCCTACTCACCCCACCTGGCTCTGTGGGATTGTTTCCTCTTCCCCAAGCTCAAGGAGGTCATCAAGGGGACCCGTTGTGAAGACGACATCAAGATGGCTGTGACGATGAAGCTACGGAGGATCCTTCTAGGAGTGCATGGCGGCGTGGCAGAGAAGGCTGGGGAAGCGTGTTAGACTCCAGGAGGATTACATGGAAGGGGAAAACTTGTAGTTTGGGTTTGGATTTGAAATATATCTTTTGTGACACCAGTCCTGAAACTTTTCTGACACCTCGTACGGACATGTCAGCACTGTTCGTGTAACCACATCCACTGCCAAAGGTTTCATATAAAAAAAGAGTAATAAGCAAATGTTATTGTAAGTTTAGGTTAAATTCAGAAAATGCTACCAAACACCATCTTTAACCAAGTGACAAACTCCAGGGCTTAAAAATAAAGTAACTGCCAGTAATCTT